TATATATAATTATATTTTTAATTTATTTTTTAATTTTAAATTTAAAATAATAATTTTTTAATAAATATATTAAATTAAAATATGAATCAACCACTAATAAATTACTTAGTTAATTAGAAATGAGATTTTATATAAATAAACATATAACCTTTTAAAATTTTTTCATAGTGGTTAAGATTCTTTTTTATTAATAATTAATTCTGTAGCCTATCAAAAAAATTTTAATAAAAAATATAATCTTAGTCACTTTGCTAATTAAAACTATCACATTTCGAAATTTTCAAATGAAAGATATTAGCTTTGTACTTTTACTAATCCGAAATTATTATTTTTGTAAAATTTTTAAAAGACTAAATATTTGTACACATCCGCTTGCTTCTTCTTCAGTAAGATTCTTAAGGTAATATCCTATCAAAAGTTTTTAATAGGTAATAGTATTAATTAGGAAAAAAAAAATCTCCCCTGAATAAGAAAAGTTTTAAAAGGTTATATGCTAATTTTACGGAAGATACTGATTGATATATATTTTATTTTAATAATTATATAATATATTTATTAAAAATAATTAATTTTTAATTTAAAATAAAAAACAAATAAATTTAAAAATAGAATTATGCACACATAATATAAAAACCCTTTGAATTGGACTTTAATTATATTATATTTTAATAATTAAACAAAACAAATATAAAAAATATATATTCAATCAAATGTACACTAATCATTTTCCCTTTTATGAAATCTCTTTAAAATAGCGTTGGTTTAGCTAATTTTATCAATTTATAACGTTTTTTTTATCCGTTTTTATTACAACTATAAGATATTCTTAATAGTCAAAACAAATAAAACCTAAATATATATTTATATACATTGTTATCCACATCTACTAAAGTAGATTATATCAATTGTTACATCATTTGAAAGTTTGAAACTAATATTTCCCCAACCTACAAGACCACATTTACTTGCAAACTTCAACTACCTTTTTTAGATGTAGTAGATCAAACTAAAAGTAGATGGCTATTTGAAGGGTTCAAATTTGTAGTAGGTGAGGGTGGAAGTGTAAGCTTTTGGAGAAAAAGGTGGAGGGAGTCTAGGGAGTTGGCTAACATATTTTCAAGATTATATTTACTCTCTGCAGGTAAAGACAATAAGCTGAACAAAATGAGCTGCTTGGAAAAGGGAATATGGAAGTGGAACCTGAAATGGAGACGAGAGCTTTATTCATGGGAACAAAACAAAGCCAAGGAGTTGAACAACATTCTATAGAATATAATGTTGCTATAAGGAGAGAGAGATTCATGGAAATTCAATTCCAATGGAAAGTGTTCTTCAAGCTTGAGATATGCAAGGCTGGTTAGTAGCAAGATCATACCTCATAAAAGAATCTATGAAAGGGTCTGGAATTAGGCCTTCCCTCACAAAATATGTGGTTTTAACTGGCAATTAATTATTGATAGGTTGCCAACTAAGGTCAACTTACTTAATAAAGGGATTTTAAAAGATACTTAAGAAGCTATTTGCTCTTTGTTTGATGAATGCCTTGAAGAAAACGGCCATTTGTTTTTGCATTATAAAATTTCTTCCCAGGTCTAGTCATGCTGCTATAGATGACGGGAAGTAAAAACTGTAATAGGAAATAGCGTGTGGGAGGCATTTGATCAAGCACGAAGGGTTGATGATTAATGGAAAAATAAAGATGGTATGGGAGTTTGTGTGGTTTGCAATAGTCTGGACTATTTGGAATGTCAGAAATGAAAAAGTCTTCAGTAACAATTCAGTTGATATTGCAAGAATTGTTGATTCTATTCAAGTGAAGACTTATCAATGGTTAAGAAACAAAGAGGAGGACTGATAATTCTTGATGTCTTATTGGATTTTAAATTCAAGGGCTTGTGTGAGCAAAAATTGACCAAATAGAGGTATTTTGTAGTTAACAGTTTTATTTGGTTAAGATTTTTATCTGTGGTTGAATTCTCTTGTAAATGGATTCCAGTGTTCTTTATATTCAATTAATAAATTTGCTTTAAAAAAAAATCACCTTTTTTATTTGTAAGTTGAGGCTGGCAAGTAGAACACAATAGGATATAAACAATTTTTTTTATTTGTAGTTTGAAGGGTCTGGTAGTGTATATAATTGAACTATATGTATTTCAAAATTATTTTTTTTATATGATTTTAAAAGTATATTTGCACATTAATTTAGTTCACTAAAAAAATTAATTTCTTTAGTTGTTAGTCTTAAAACTTAAACTTTAAACTTAATTTATAATATTACACATGCTAACAGGTAAATCTAACTTTGGAATTGTCAATTTTTGTTTCTTGACCAAAAATTAAATTTTCAAAAATATTATACAATTTAAATTACACTAAATTTTATAATTTAAATCATTAGATAGAAACGGATATCTTTATATTAAGGCTGCCGGCGGTATCTGGAACGCACCCATCCAACGGTTAACATCAACAATGATGGAGTACTCAATACTCCCTCCAACCCAACTCACTCACCAGCAGACATTGTTTGACAGCAAACGCCTCCCCTTCCATATATAAACAATCCTTCCTCTTCTTTGAAACCAACTCCAATAAGCAAGCCACGGCATTAACACACCATTTCTGTAAGGAAAATGATATGTGCACACCCGGGTGTGCACACTCCCCTTTGAAAAAAAAAAATGCCCATCACCCACCCGGTCTAATTTTTTTTTTATATGGGGGTGCACACCAGGGTGTTGGATCCGGATGTGCACCAATCAGGGTCTCTATAAAAGAAAAATCACAGTTTCCCATCCTATTCTTGACCCTGAAGAATGATATAAACTCTAGTACCAAGTTCCCCATCTATTCTTCTGCTGTAAAAGACATGCTGCAGAAAAGCCTCCATGCAATTCTAATTTTCCCAGCACAAACAAATATCCCCCACCAACTAAAGAATTAATTTTCTCCCACAATTTAAATGCTGCGTGCATCACAAATGTAAAAATTACACATTACCCACAACCAGCCAAGTTAGTATCATTGATTGTAGTAGCCTGATTAATTCGTGCTTGATTTGATTCCTTCTGAAATCAAAAGTTGGGTGCCCATGCATTTGCCCAATAATTCGTATCACATGAAACACGCCTTAATGTTATATATCTTTAGATAACTAAAAACTTTAATGGAAAGTTGGGGTGGCATGCATTTGCCCAATAATTCATATCACATGAAACACACCTTAATATTATATATATCTTGCTGTGCAAAAAAAAATTATTATATATATCCTTACATAATTAAAAAGTTGACACCACTTAAATACTTACAAAAATACTCAATACAACATCCTTTAACGGGCGCTGCCTCTTTTGTCAATTTTTTTTCCTTTTTATTGTTTAAATTGATGTACAATGAGAAGATAGGTAGGAAGATATATATGTGATGAAATTAAGTTAATTCTTGTCCAAAAACTTTCTTACCAAATATATTACTGTTGTGATATGAGTTAATTACAGCAAAATGACAAATTGGTGTCTTGTTAAACTACGCACGTACAAAAAATTATAATTAGTAGTTAGAAAAAGAGAGAATAACTCAAATAGTCTCAAACTATGTTAAAGCTTATTTGAAGACACCCAAACCTTCTAAAAAATACTAAAGCATCAATAGCTTTCCTTCCTTATCCCTCCCCTACAGCAATATATATTATCGTACTTATAACATAAAAGATTTCAAGCAATCCAAAGGGAGATTATATAAAACAGTCACCAGGTGAAAAGGATCGATGCAGCCTCAAAACATATAATTTCCCTTTCAGGCAGCAAAATGATTTTAACCCAACAAAATGTTTTGGCACAAAAAGGTGAAAATGTTTTGGCATGGCAGAAAATTAAAAAGAAAAACGATATATGCAGCTGAGCTTTGTGGAAACAGAGGAAATAGCAGAAAGGGAACTTTAACCATACGTACATCATCAACAATACAGAAAGGTCTGCTGATAAAAAAAAAACAATGCAGAAGAGTCCGAAAATTACAAAATTATATATTAAGGCTTTGTTGTGTATGGTAGCAGTTTTGGGTTTTGACTTTAACAAATTTTGTAATTACTGAAAACCAAAAAATATAGTCTTCACAGAGTCTTTAAACTGATACAGATTTGGTCCATCCTCTGGTTGAAAGGAAGTGATAGTAAATCAGTGTTCTCTATATATGAATGGTGTTATAGAGGACTAGGGAGGATCCCTGGCTGTTTTTGGATTGGTTGTATTAAGCTTTTGGGGTGATGTACAATTAGATGCAAGTATGAGAGAGTACCTCTTGTACCCTCTAATAAAAATATTTTTTTTATTGATAAAAAAATTAAAAACTAGAAATATGTTTAAAACAAATTTTAACATTAAAAATTAAATAAGAAAAAGTGTTGTAAAGTTTAAATTGTATTAAATTACACAATACTAACTATTTGATGGAAGTTGGCTTTTCCTCATCCAATGGTTTTGTTTTACAATTCAATATAGTTTAGACAATAAAATAAAATTCTTCTAAAAATATTTATTTATTTAATAGTATTAAAATTATTTTTTCTCTTATTTCTTTAATAATCATAATAATATGTTGAAAAAATACATGAAAATAAAATTTAAAAAAGATTATAAAAATCAAAATGATCCAACAACTCAAGACTATAATCATTCTAAATGGAACCTAAGGCCTAGTTTGAGAGTGTTAAGCTGCAACTATAATTGTAGGTCTTTTTAGTTTTTTAATCATCTAAAAATATATTTAATATTTATTTTAATTAACATTTTATATATTTTTAGAATAATAAAAAGACATAAAAACCAAACAATAAAACACCAAAAATTGTTCCAAACAAAACCATATATAGGCTTCATTTGCACTTTCTATAGATTTTTTCAAACAATATTTTATCTACAATTTTAAATTTATTATTTTTAATTATTTTTTATATATTTTTATTAACTTTAATTAATATTTTATATATTTTTGAGATATTAAAAGATAAAAAAACATATTCTACTACGTAACACTAATAAATGAAATCTTAGAAATTTTCAAACTAAGAGTTTGGATTTATTAGTAAGTATCATATTATAATTTAAATTTAAAATTTAAGTTTTAACAGTCAATACCAAATTAAATTAATTTAGGCCTTTTCAGGGGAATACCAAATTATAATTAAATTAGTAAAACATCACGCTTTTCATCTTATCTTTAATCTCCGATTGATGCGCATGACAATGACTGGCAAAATAAATGTCAACCTAAGTGCTATTTACCCATCTATATCAAGGTATTTCCGCCGAGCAAATGAACAACCCATCAATTTTCCAAATCTCTTACCATTCAATCTTAAGCAATTAAGGCTTGCTCTATGGCACAGAACCAAGCAAGCAATGCTTCCACTCAGGTTGTTTCTCCAGAAACCTTGGAAAGAGTCAGAGAGATAATCTCAACCCTTCCATCTGACAATTGCTGGAAACACGTCCAACCCTTCTGCCTATACCAAGGCTTTTGGTGCTACCCTTTTTTACTAGAAGGTGTCATTTTAGCTCAAGAGTTCTTCAAGGCAGAACCAAGTGATATCTTTCTCTGCACCCCTCCAAAACATGGCACCACTTGGATCAAGGCCCTAACCATTGCCATTGTGACTCGAACCCGTTTTGACCGTTCCATGAGTCCCCTGCTCTCCAACTTACCTCACGACATTCTACATCATCTGGAGGAAGACTTTGGTAAGAAGCCGGATGTACGCGTACCGGGGCTCCCTCTCATCCCCACTCACATACCGTATGATTCCTTGCCAAAGTCTGTCAAAGATTCCGATTGCAAGATTGTTTATGTTCGTAGAGAAATAAAGGATGCTTTTACTTCGGAGTACAACTTCTCAATCAGTTTGAGCTCAAAGGATCGCGGTGAATGTCATGACTATGATGAACCTAGCGAGTCCATGCCTTTGGAGGAGGCATTCGAGTTGTTCTGTGAAGGAAAGTCTCTATATGGACCTTGTTGGGACCATATTCTAGGATACTGGAAGGCAAGTTTAGAACGACCAGGGAGAGTGTTGTTTTTAAAATATGAAGATCTGAAGAAAGACACTGCCTTTTATGTGAAGAAATTGGCAGAATTCATGGGATACCCTTTTTCAATGGAGGAAGAACAAGAGGGAGTAGTGCAGAAAATTGTAGACTTGTGCAGTTTTGAGAATTTGAGCAGCCTGGAGGTGAACAAGACTGGAACATTTCATCGCCAAGGTCTGCTCAGGTTCCCAAACAAATCCTTTTTCCGGAAAGGGGAGGTAGGGGATTGGAAGAATCATCTTACACCTGAGATGGCGGAACGTCTTGACAAAATAATGAAGGACAAACTAATTGGCTCTGGATTATCTTTCAGTGCCTGATCAGCATATAACATGGCCAAATTTGACTTCAGTGTGTTGAGCGATATGTAATCATTATGAATAAGAACCGTTATCTTATTTTCAGTTTTAATATTTTTCTAATTTTAGTTGCATAATGAAAAGTAATCATTTCTCATTTCTATCTTTACTACTAAAATCCTTATCTTCAGCAACATGCTTCCATGTTGCTGAAAGTACTTCCCATGTTGTTAAAAGTCCTTCAGCAACATGGTTTTGTTGGAGAAAGTTTGGTGGATAATATATTACCAACCAAAATTTTATTACTGATGTATCAGCAACATAAGCTATATTGCTGAAAATATAGTATCAGTAACATAGCTTATGTTGCTGAAAACATTCATTGAAATCCGGTGGGAGTGGGTGGTGAATTTTCTCACCCTTTTCAACAACATAGGTCATGTTACTAAAGATAAGGTTTTAGCAACATGACTCATGTTGCTAAAAATTGGGAGGAATATAGCCAGAATCTGGCATCAGAATTTTGCCTAATTTTTAGCAAGAAAAGCCACGTTATTGAAACTATATTTTCAATAATGTGGCTTGTGTTGGTAAAAGTTGGGGGGAGAGTGGTTTCCCACTTTTCAACAACATACCCTTTCTTGCTAATGTTTATTCCTATGGCAGCAACCACATTTTCAGCAATATACCCCTTGTAGATGATGTATCACAATACCAAATTAAAGAAAATTAAAAAATATTTATTAATTAGATACAATAATCAATTTTTAGCTTAATAAATGTATATAAATTAAAAAAACTTAAGTTAATTAATTTTTATGGTTTGATTGAGTATCTTACTAAACTTGAATTTTTTATTTTATTAATAATTACAAACAAAACAAAGAAAATAACAAAATTAAATTAATTACTATA